AAAAAAAGAAAACGATTAATCGATTATTAAATTAGTCATCGATTATTTTAATAATCGATTAGTCGTCAACTAATCGACTAGTCGTGGCAGCCCTAATAATATACCATGGATGATTTAGACACTTTCTCAACCCAAATGAAAGCGTGTAATGGATACTTTATTTAACCTCTTGTGGAATGTGCTTGAACTTGACAAATAGCTGAAATATCATGAAAGCGTGCCAAATGTGTGTCCCACAGGGCTCATGCTTACACAGATGAACCAGTGTGGTTGAGGTGTGGCGCGACTGTGACACAGCAGCACAGGAAATGAAAAATCTAAAAGCAGAATTTGGTTTCAAGTTTATTTACTGTCTGTCTTCCTCGCAGTGACGGTAATTTCCCGTTTGCTGTTGAAATGTTACCTGTGGAAGCTTTTCTCACTCATCTCATCCATTTTCTTTTATTTCATCATTACTACAGACTTTCCTGTGAGTCACAGTGTGGTGAGCTCAGTTGGCACTCCTCCATCCTCTGGTGCGCAGCGTTTCTAAGAACTGCACGTCCCCTGGTGCAGGGACATTTATAGTTAGACTTGTTTTCTGTGTTTAAGTAGAACATTTGCTTATTAAATCTTCATTGTTCTTTCTAACTGGAMCATTAAACAATAGGGCATCACTGAGGTGTTGCTGAATGTTGGGCTACATACAGCAGTTAAATGCTTCATAGAGAGACATAGGCACCTTTTGTGACATTATCATTATGAGTGAAAAACTTTTAACCACTGTAGGTTTTTTACTAAATACTGTTTTTTCCTATCATAAACAGTGTGCTGTTTGTATTTCTTTATTGCCAGGTGCTGAACTGTGAACATGGACAGTATTGTTTTTGCATTTTTCTGTGTGTGTTTATGAGTCTGTCTGTTAGCAAAATATCTCACTACCCACTACACAAGTTTTACTGAAACCCGGAGTAAATAATCRTTGGACGTACRTCTACAGCCGATTAACCCCTTAATGGTGGCCCGTTTAGATTTTTATTTTATTTTAATCCTTAAGTTAAAGGTAAGAACTGGAGGAAATTGTCTGACACCCTGCTTAAAAAAAAAAAGCCTGCAGTAGCATCTGGAAACGTAAAGAAACATTTAAAGAACGGCACAGTTTCTACCCACCAGGGGTTGACAACCTGACTCAAAACCTGTAAAAACACTAAATTAGCCAGAGCTCTGTCGTTTTTATAGATATTGACCTAGAATTTTGTGTGGTAGTAGCAGAGACTGAACACATTCTGAGTGCGAGGAGATGGGGCCTATTTAGAGTCAATTCTGTCTGTTAGCAAAATATTTATTTATTTATTTATTAGAAATTTGTTCGTTTAAAAAACAAAACAAGAAAATACTATATACAGT